GTCAAAGGCATCGCCTGTGAGCATGGGCACCGGGCACGACCGTGAGCGACAGGTTGGGATACTCATCAGACAGCGAGCGGGTGATGAGGGCATCCGTGTGATACGTGTGCCCATCGAATGGTCAAAGTACTGCCTGGTGGCGGGGATCACTGTGCTTCTCAGATCGTGGAGCTGGCGTCGGGCGCCGGCGGCGGGACTGGAGAGCGCGACTTGCTCGCCTGGGACGGGCTGGCGTGCTTCAGAGCGCCGCAGAGAGTCGGTCGAACGGCAGCATCGCCGCCTGTGGCATGAAGACGCTCAAAAGTGCTTGCGCAGCTGGACAATGTTGGCTGGCAGCGGTCCATTGAAGGATCCGTTCAGAGGACTGTTGGCAATTGGATCCATGACGGGCCACGGAGAACGGACTCGACGTATGGGAGATGCAAGTAAACAGTTTGTCAATTGATGATGAAGCTCAAAGATGCACAGTTCAATGGCGGGGAGATGGTGTGAGAGATGAAGATGGAAGGATTTATGAAGAGGACAAATGCTGGTGCCTGATGGAAGGACGAGGGCGAGGGCGGCCAGGGGAGGGGAGGGGGGTTGGTCGTGTCTGAGGTCGACGTGAGCCAACTGCGCCGCCGAGAGGCACAGCTGTGGCTCAGGCGGGACATTTGCGCTGATCGGCGGGAAGCACAGGCTACGGTGCGCTGAAACAGCGATTCGGAAGAAAGCCTCAATGTGACGATGGAAGGGACACAGGCACTCGAATGATGGACATTCTACATAATCTTACTGGTCAAAATATCTTGGGTGTATTATTTGTCTGGAGATACCCGAAGCTTTCGAGGTGCCGACACGCATCTTGACCATGCCTTTGGCCAATCCTAGGTTTAACGAGAGGGTGTCGCATAAGGTACGAAACAGCTGCGTTGGATATTTTGAGGGCCAAGGGGGAGTTGTCTGAGTTTGCATCAGGGTATAAGGCAATTCTGCCACATTTATTAGTACTATATGCGCAAATTGGTGCCCGGGCAGGTATCCCTGGCGATGTATGGCTTTACAGAGACTGTCTCATCAAGTCCGGTTTGGCTTCTGGAAGGAATCATTTCCTCGGGAGAACCGTCCACGCAGATGCTTTCATGCCACTGTCTTCCTTTCAGACCCAATTCAAAATGATTTCTCACGCTCTCAGAGTCAATTGCGGGGGTAGCATAGCGTGGATGTTCATGCCAATGCTAGGAAATGGAATCGATGGCTTTCCGAATCAATGAAACAGGAGGCTCCATGCTGACCTTTATTTCATCGTAGGGCAAAACGTATTGCTCTTTGAATGATATTGAGTATGTTGCGTATATGGACTTGTAACTCTGTTCCTTCCTGAACCATTGTGAACAGTGAATCACTTTGGAGCGCTCCACGAGGAGAAGGATCACATTCACTTCTAGTGTACCGTCAGTGAATGCGTGCTTCCTCTTGCATCCACTGCCCTCCAGTCCAGTCTTATACTCTATAAATCAAACCCCCAAACCTGGTTCTTTAGTGAACTTGGAAAACTGACCAACTCACAATATTATCAACTCGCAGAGCCAAGACACACCCAACATGGCTTCCATCACTGGCCTGGATATCTCGGGCAATGCCCTCGTGGCCTTTTGGTAAGCTGACCTGCCAGCATTCGTGATTTTCACATTTCCAAGTATGCTGACAACCCAGCCTCTGGGACATGCTTGAGCGCAACCTTGCCACAGCTTATGCCTGGCGCTGCCAGCCTTTTGAGCTTGCCGAGAACCCCACCTTTGTCCCTTCGGACGTGAGCATTGTGATCGCAACCATCCAGCCGGACGATTCTTTCACCCGTGCACTGCGTCTCTGGCTCGAGAACAAGCCCAAAGAGATCATCATCGTCACCATCACGCGTGACTTGGAGGCTGTCAAGGAGCTCGTATCTGATCTCGAGCACGGACAGGCCATCATTCAGATCCTGGCCATCAATCACGCGAACCAACGAGAGCAGCAAATTCATGGCATCAAGATGACCACTGGTAAAATCATCCTCCTGGCCGACGACGATACATTCTGCACCAGCTCAGAAGTTGTACCTTGGCTTCTTGCTCCTCTCGAAAATCCCCGCATCGGCGCCGTGGGAGGCAAACAGCTTGCTGACATTCCGCTCGAACGTCGCAATGCCGCCATCTCGACGCCTTGGGAGGCCATCTCTGTCTTTGGCCTCGACACCTTCCACAACACGTCCGCCGCCCGGTTCGGCGCCGACGAGGATACCTGGGTGCTCGTCGGCCGCGCTCAGGCTATCCGCGGCGATATCCTTCGCGATCCCGCCTTCCTTCGCGGCTTCATCAACGAGACGTGGCGCGGCGTTCCCATCCGCACGGGCAACGACGCCTTCATCACACGCTGGGTGGTTGCGCAGGGCTGGAAGATGGCGTACCAAGTCGCTGATGGCGCTGAGGTGCACACGATCCCGCTGATTGACCGGACCGTCATGCGTCAGCGGGCTCGCTGGCTGCGCAACTCGCACATGTTCTTCTCGTCGGCTCTCCTTTGGGCCCCTGGCTTTTCGGAGATGCGCTGCAAGACTCCCTACAAGGCTAGGAAGATGCTGGAGCGGGTGTTTCGCCCTTTGATTACTCTGGTGCATTTCGGAGTGTGGCTTCAAGCTTGCAAGACGCACCCTCATCTCTGGTAAGTGGACCCAAACACATCGAGCGAGGTGAACTTCGAGGAGCGCCGAGGCTAACAATGGCAGGCTTGTCATCACGGCATGGTATGCGTTCCTCTATTACCAGCCGTACCGTGGCTTTGCTGTGAAATATCCCTGGATGAAGCGCCATGTCTGGGCTTTGTTCCTCATGGACACCGTGGGTAGCCTGTTGGTTGAGCTTTATGCATGGCTCACCATCAGCAATGATACTTGGATGACAAGGGAGGATAGTGCTTGAAGGTAGCACGGACCCCATAGGTCACGATCATGAGCCTCAAAGTGGCGCCTAGAGGAAGATCAAAACGCAGAAGCATTCATGGAAGACGATTCAGTTCAGAGCAGGCGCGACGAGGAAAAGCGCTTTCGACAGCAGACATTGATAACTGCCATGGAAGAAAATCTCCGCGTCGATGAAGCACTTGTTGACAATGATTTGCAGTGATTGTACATGGATATCTAGGTCCCATGGGCGACAAGGCTGCCGCGCAAGGTCCATGATGTGACGTCACGGCCCAGCATGTCCCGGCCGTGTTTCTTACGCGGCCTCGGAGCAAAGATCCACAGACAACAGCAGCGAGCCACTGCTGACCTCTTGGGTCTCTCGAATCAACTGGCTAGAGATGAATCCCACGTCCAGGATTTCCGAAGAACGTGAGGTTATAATATGGAGATATGACCTCAGCCGTCAGGCACTACGGCATGGCACCGTCATAGCTCGACCCCAGGGACCTCGACTCCGAGATTCTATCTGGGCTTGCTGGGGTATTTGATGATCTGGTCTCACCCTTTGCAAAGCGTATTCTTTCATCACCAAATCATCCTTTCATTCCTGCAAGATACTCGTCCAAGTTCAATATGTCAAACTTCAACAACACGTCCGCTCCCGTCCCCGGCGCCACCGGCTACAACGACCCCGCCGGCACCCACGGACCTCACCACTCCCGCATCGGCAACGCCATCGATCCCCGCGTCGACTCGGACCGCGACGGTCGCGCCGCCACCAACTCTTCCGTGCCCGCGACCGGCTACGAGAACCAGAATTCGCGATATGAGAACCAGCCCGTTGGCAACCGTGGCGTGACGGGCTACGATGATCCCACTGGCACTCATGGACCCCATGCCACGAGGGCTGGCAACGTCGCGGATCCGCGCATCGATTCTGACCGCGACGGTCGCGCGACAGCCGACACATCTATTCCTGCGACGGGAATCAGGGGCCCGAACACACAGAGTGTGTCGGGGGGGGACCACTACGACGCATGGACCGGCCGCATCAGCCATGGCCCGACGAGCGCTGCCGCTGGCACCACTGCGGGAACCACTGCCGGCACGCACGCCACGGTGGACGACGGCCACAAGCAGGGGGGTCTCAAGGAGAGCGTCAAGGGTGTGATTGCCCAAGGTCACGTCAGTATATCCCCAGCATTGAACAGTATATAGAAAGCCACTGACAGCAATCGGCAGGGCATGGGCGAATCGGTCCGCGGCCATTTTAATGCTGGTGTCGATGGACTGCTTGGCGACAAGGAGGGCCAACGCAAGGATGCTGCCGTTGCGGCCGGCGGCGAGCGCGAGTTTGCGCGCAAAGACTTCGAGCACAAGGGAACGATGGATAAGTCGCTGGGACCCGGACCAAACCACTGAATGCGCGTGCTGTTAGTGTGTAGCATAGTTCTCTTGATATCCAATTTCTTATGTCCTTACTTCCAAAGATGTGCTATGTACAGGCAGTGTACAGATGGTGTGTCAGTATATTACAACAATACAGTGTGGACAGGACCAGGGCACAAGTCATCGATCCCAATCCCACCAGCCTAATATCCATCCCCGGCACGCAGCACACGCGACCAGTGCTTCGACCAGCGACAGCTCCAAGCCGGACTCTACCTCCAGCTGCCCCTCGAGCTCCGAAGCCAGCTTTCTTCCCGTGTCTCCGTCTCGCCACACCAGGTCAGCCCCTTTCTTTTCCACGATGAAGAGAACTCGACGGCGCCACTCCTCATCGGGCTTGTATCCCCATCTCGTCATCTTCGCTCTCGCAGCGTCGAGCGCCGCCTGTGACTGCGGTGTGACATGCCAAAATCGACACGTGCCGGAGCGCGCCACGTCCGCCAGCTCAATGTGGCCCGGCAGCGTGCCGGCTTTGCAGCCTCTGATCTCGGGGTTGTGCCGCACAGGGGTAAAGCGGTGCAGGGCGTTGACGTTGGTCGCCTCGTAGAGCGTGAGATCGTGGTCATAGTCTGGGGCTGAGGCTGCGGCCGAGACGACGCGGCGGAGGCAAGATGAGGATGCAGCTGGAGACGTCCACGCAGGTACAGAAGGGCGAGGTGGACTTGAAGGCCCGCCGATCGAGATACGGCGGCTCTCGGAGGGAGTGAGGCGGCGCAGGCTGAGCTTGAATGGTTTGCCTAGGCTGGAGATGACCTGGCTCAGCTGGAAACGAGGGGCTGCGGGTTCGTGGCCGAGGCAGTGTTTGGAGGAGACGAAAGGGGGTTGAAAGGCGTAGATGCGGGCTTCAGGGTCGCAGCGACGGTAGGAAGGCGGCAGAGTCAAGCCAGCGGGCGTCTCCTTGCACAGCGACTCAGTTTCGGCGTCGGACACCGCAGAGAGGAGCGAGTCGACGCGAGACCTGCTCCGGAAGAGGTCAGGCGGTGTCGGACCAGTGATGGCGGGCACGAGCTCGGTGGTGCGATGGTCGGCATAGGTGGGTAGGGCTTCAGAAGCCTCTGACGTGTCCATGGTAAGGATATACGATGATTTGAGAGTTACTGGTGGGCCTTTTCGTTGCTTGTTCGTTCATCAGGTGCTTTTGGCGGGATCATCGCCAATGGGACGGTCAAGTTGGTTGCACAGAGATCACTCAATTAGCATGGAAACCGCCTGCTTTGAAAGCATGGCAAGAGATTTGTACACTGTCTGTTCTGTAGCTTGGCATGTGCCTGTGCTAAGTAACGAAACAGGTCGTGCCGTGCATCTGGATCGAAAGTAGAGGCTCGGGCCGAAGATGCGAGTCAACGATCCGGGCTTGAGGGTCGGACAGTGCCAGCCGCTGCCTTCGATGAGGCTAAATCGGAGGATAAGCTCTCAGATAGGTATGAGACGTGTAGATACTGTCCGCCGATCGAATTAGATGATCATCTTCAGATTCCTGAGGTGAAGCCAAGTGATGACGATGATCTAGGACAGTTGACGGCGGGGTGGCGGGGTAGCTCGGTTTACGGCATATGCACCCTATGCCCTTTTGGTGTCTATACCGCTTATAAGGACAGTCTCCTCTCGTGTCCATCCATTCCTCTCGTCAACGCTCCAAGCGGCATCCCTCCTCTTGCTTTTCCGTCATCCCATTATTGCTCGGGACGATCCGCGTGACGTGAGAGCACCGAAGCTGAAACTGAACTCTGAGTCGACTGGGTCTCCATGCGCCATCCGACCTGCCCAGGCCTTGCCACTTGACGCATTCGCAGACACAGCCGAAGAGAGTCCACTTGTCTTGTACGACACACCTTCTTTGACCATGCCCATCACGGCGAGTATTGACGAACATCTCGGCACCAAAAGGACAGCATCATGCCAGGTGCAACATGATCGACGGCGAAGCGTCTGACTCGATTCATCAAGCCTCTCTCGCCATCACATGCATTGTATGGCAGGTCGTCAAAACTCAGTTGACGCTACTCGCCCACCGAAGCTCAGCCCTCCCGTTTCACAGCTTCATTGCACAGCCATGCCAATCAAGAGCTTCCGCCCACGCAGCCCAACGCCTCCCTAAACTCTATTCGGCACAACATGTCATATGCAGCCCTCCTCCTCCCAGAGCTGGACCCCGCCCCCCTCCCCCAAGCCTAGATCCGAACACAAACGAGAAGCCAGTCCCAGGTATGGCCTGCAAACGTACTTCTTCGGCTCACCATTTCATCTGCCGACTGTGCATCTCAGCCGCGGAGGTGGAGGGAGCTTCGATTGGACGTCCTCAAACCGTGCATACTAGTCTCATCACAGCTTCGGCGGGAGTGTGGGCTGTACTGTAGAAGTAATGGCAAGGAACCTGAGCCGACCAGAGAGGCTGTGGTACGCGCCCGTCGCCCATGGAACACACCTACCCCGCGTCTGGCCGTGAGCACGCTCGTCGAGGCTGCTCAGCTGCTTGCTCAGCATCCCACGATGTGACTTTGGCGTCTGGCTGTGGACGGGTGCAGCGAGGCCCATGGCTGGCTGAATGAAGGCCTCAGAGCATGTCTGAATGCAACCTGCTGAAGAGAGCGCCGTTGCATGCCTGTGGCGTCTGAGGGCTTGTGGCAGCAGTGACTGTTGCCTGGGCGGTGGCATATGACGTGAAGAAAAAGCAAAGCAACAGGATCGACGATGGGTATAAAGACCAGTCCCATGGGCTGTTGAGGAAGGCCTGTTGAGAAGCTGGTGAAGCATCAGATCCAACTTGAGCATAGAAGCAGCTAACCGCGCTTACATCCATACACCACTACGCAAGACCACCACCCTCCGATATCACCATGTCAGGAGAGACCATCCCAGGCGAGTGGCTCGTCACCCTCAAGCCCTATGCCAACGAGTCCATCGACTCTGAGCACACCTCCCTCCTGAGCACTCGCACTGCCGACCCGGACACGCACTTCAACTGCGATGTGCAGTGCCACTTTGCCCTGCCCGAGCTGCGCGGCTACAGCGCAAAGTTCGACGACGCCACGCGCGCCGAGGTCGAGGCCCTACCCGAGGTCCAGGCCGTCGAGCCGCTGCAGGTATACCGCCACTGCGCCGCCGCCGGCGCGACGGCCGTGCAGTCCAACGCGCCCTGGGGCCTGGCGCGCATCTCGCAGCGGGGCCGCGTGTCGCCCGCGGGACCGTGGGAGTACAAGTACGACGCCAACGCCGGCGCCGGCACCGTGGCGTACATCCTCGACACGGGCATACGCGACACGCACGACGAGTTCGAGGGGCGGGCGTCCAAGGGCCCGACGTTCTCGCAGGGGCGGCCGGCGAGCGACGAGGACGCGACGGGCACGGCACCACGTCGCCGGCACCATCGGCGGCAAGACGTACGGCGTGGCGAAGAAGGCCGAGCTCGTGGGCGTCAAGGTCTTCAACGACGACCCGCAGCCCGGCGCGACGAATGCCGACATTATCCGGGCGCTCGAGTGGGTCGTGGACCAGGTCAAGTCGCACGGCAAGCCTTCGGTCGTCAACATGAGCCTTGGCGGCGGCGCCTCGGCGGCGCTTGATGCGGCCGTGGCTTCGACTGTCAGGGCTGGCATCGTGGTTGTTGTCGCCGCTGGCAACGACGGCGTGAGTCGAACCCACAGTGATGAGCGTAGTGCGTCTGGACGCTGACATGTTCCGAACAGCGACCTTCTGATCGCGGGTCACCAGCTCGGGAGCCCCTGGCCATTACCGTTGGAGCGTCCGACGTCGAGGATGCTGGGGCGAGTTTCACGAGCTGGGGCAAGAGTGCGTAGTTTGGCATATCGTGATCATGAGAAAAGGTGCTGACAGGGACCAGTTGTCGACATCTTCGCGCCTGGCGTGGATATCAAGTCTTCGTGGAACACTGGCGATGATGCCGTAGAATCTCTCAACGGGACATCGATGGGTACGTCTCCTTACCAAGAAGGCCTTGGCGATTTTGATCAAGAAACCTCTAACCTTTCTCCAGCGTCGCCTCACGTTGCTGGCGCCGTCTGTTACCTCTTGAGCCAGAAGAGAGTGGAACCCCTGCTTGTGATGCCCCAGCTGCTGGGCTGGGCGGACAAGAACAAACTGACAGGGCTCAAAGACCGGACCATTGACGCGCTGCTCGTAGTGTCAGACAATTAACCATCGACGACGTGCCGGTCAAACTGTGGTATCAGGGCATAAACGACCAGCGAAGGGAAGGGGGGTTTTGGAATGCCGCGGCAAGGTGCTCTGGCTTGGTTGATTTTTTTGATCGTGACGCAGTGTGCAGATCTATAGTCGCTCTCGCTCTCGCCCCGAAATCGCAACGCTTTCCTGAAGTCTTGTGTCTTCGTTCTTCTCCAGCATGTGATGCGCCCTTCCTCACGCCCAAAGATGTGCCTGAAGATGCCAACGCTCCCTCTAGTCTGTTCTCTCCTTTGGTATCAACCCCGGCCTCCGGTGTAATCCGCACCGGCAGCCTTGCGCAACCTCTTGACGATGTCTTGCAGGTCGAGATCGCTCTTGTCGCTCGCGTTCACCTGGATGCTGTGGTGGAGCGAGGACGCGGAGCGACTTCGACGGCCTCGATGCTGACGACGGGCTTTTCGCATGACCTTTGTCTTCTCGGCTGATCCAGACAATAGAGTGCGACTTGGACCACGAGTAGCTCTCGGAGTCG